ATATAACTTGATGAATGTCTCTTTAAAAAGGGTGTAGGAGAGTTAATCTCAAAAATTGGCTGAGGCTGAGATGATCGATATGTGCTCAATAGTGTTCAATAGCGATGAAGATGACGATGACATGGATCAAGATGGAGTTGAACCATATATATATATATATATATATATATATATATATATTAAAATTGGTGATAGTAACATTGATAGAGTGAAGGAGAGAAAAAATGGAAATCCAAAACCTCTACCTATCTCTTTCTTACAAAGAGACATTTGATGAGATCTGGTGGTGGTTTAAGGAGATTATAAAAGTGTAAGTGTAGTGGAACATGTTGGCTTTGACATCATGACGAATCTTGACAAACATGGCACTAGCCCCATGCCACACAATTATATATCTTAATCACAAACTAACACTTCTCCTCAAATTCCACCTTTTTATTAATTGAATTACATAGTACTAAAAGAGAAGGATTTCTAGATATGATTTGATGAAAATATGGTAATGGTTTCGACCAATCGATTGACAACCATTGGCTTCTTCACAATTTTTACACAATCATTGGTTTATTAACCATTATGTTTATTAAAAAAGTGTGAAAAAGTTAGTGGTTTCCACATGCATCTTCCTTTCCCATCATCACCATGCATATTTTCATCATATCTCATCGAGATATACTTTTCACTTTCAATACTTTGTTGATAAGAAGTGGAGTAAGAAATCAAGATTTTGACTTTTCAATTTACATCACTTGCTTATAATTTATAATAACTACCTAGTTCATTTTCAAAGGAGCACCTATTGAGCATCATCAAGATTTTGTTCAGACAATCCAAAAACATACATGACTTATAACCCCAAGACCATAATTAAAAAAGCTAAATTTCAGAAAAATAACAAAATACCCATTTTGTTAATGGATAAAATAGACGGTCGTTTGTCAGTTTTAGGGACCAAATCCATAAAAAAAAACTACATACATGGAGGTTTCTTTTGTAGTAAATAAAGATAAAGGACCAAAGCCATAATTCACAAACCTTAGGGACCAAATTCATAATTTACTTTAAATATTATATAACACCATATTGTTTCACGACATCAGCGTTAGCAAGAAACTAAAATACCGTCTTTGACATTTTTAAATTGGAACAGTATGCAAAACTAGTTGTGTACCCGTGCAATGCGGCGGAAGCCGTAAATTTTAATGATTTTGAAGTTTTACTGGTTTTATTAGATAAGATTTAACGATGATATAAGTTACCGTTGGTCTTTACATATTAATACAATTTGAATAAATAAACGTTATGGTTCCAATTACAGTCTATCGATGAAAAAAATTGTATGACAGTTTAAAATCCAACATATTTAAACGACTCCACAAATGTGTTCGATTTACACCAAGAGCAAAGAATCAAGAGATCGAGACCGAGACCGAGAGATTTAGAGCAATTAAATGAGAGATGAATGAGAGAATTTTTAACAACTCATGGTGAATATCAGTTTGAATCTCACATTGGGGGATAGGGAGAAGACATAGAGGTATGAGAGGGTGAAGACATGATTGAAAGGTGTCAAAAGTATCTTGGAAACATGAAAAAAAAAAAAGTAATAATGTGCATTGGTAACTTGCACTATATGTTATTTTAATTGTAGATTAAGATATTTTAAGACTGAATGCATAAATAGTAGTACTTAATGCAGTATGAGTTGTTTTTAAGACTTTGTGCATAAATGTATATTACTTTATGCATTAAAAGTTGTTTTTAAGACTTTTGATAAATCTGGTTTATAAGGTAGTATATATATGGTCCAATTACCAAAAGTGATTGCATTATTTTAATCGTTTCATTTGATCAAATGCAATTATATATTTTTCGTATTTTTGTTTTAATATGCTAATACATGGTTTTATAACCAATGCATTAACATATTATTAGTTCAAGCAACAAATTTCTTTATTCATCGTTCGTTAATATTATTTTACTAACTTTAGAATAAATTATGATTATTGTTCGTGTAGTTTGTTAATAATTTTGATTTTCATTCCTACGGTTTAGAAATTGAGATTTTCGTCTCTTTTAGTTTGCAATTTATTGATATTTTCCTCCCTGGACTAATTCTTACCTTTACAGTACAAAGGGTCAAAACAATAAAAAATTATAAACCATAATGACTAAAACAACAATAAATTGTAAATCGTAGTTTGGTTTCTAACTAAAAAAGATCACATATAGTGGATCGTGTGTTTTGAGTGGACTAGAGGGAAATGGATTAGGCATGGTTGACCAAACCACTCCACCACGTTGTGTTTATTTTCTCATTCACAAAATATTTGCATCTTACATTACGTTTGTTTGAGTTTAAAAGACTGTTTCTAAGAACACAACTTCTGTTTTTAAGATTGTTAAACAACAAATAATAATGTAAACTTGTCTGACTTCTTGCTTTAAACAACATTCCTATATGGCATGAAAATGATCTTGGCTAAAGCCTTGCATCGTCTAACCTTGAGCTAAAACAATTTATCGCCTCAAAACTACGTACTGAGGTTTGCAACACTATGGAGCAACCACCATAGCTTATATTACACAACATAACAGTATGACACATCTTTAGATCACTATGCTGACAAACATAATAGTTTTTTTTTTACAAGGATTGTAATGCTACACATTTGATATAAAATTACTGACTTACTGAAACCCAAATGTATAATCTTACCAGCTCAACACAAATTTCCAAATTGCCATCTTTTTTGCTTTGTTAAACCATTCCCCAAAACTTAACACTTTAGATCCTAATTATACTGGTTCAAGGTCTAACTATTGTTTAAAACACAGTCATAAATATAATTTTACTAGTTATATAAGTTCATCTCATCTTTTGGTCTCAAATCTTGACTTGATTAAATCAAGTCCTTCCTCGAATGATACATCCACAAGTAATTCATAAACCCAAATGAGAACATAAATCATTGACAAGTGTTTGGTTTGGTTTAGGTAATGGATAAGAATGGAATTATTAGTAGGGTGGAGTTCAAACGAGAACACTTCTATTTTATGAGAATGTGAGAATATTTACGAGTCTTAAAATTATTTACCCATAACTAAAATTAAAAGAAAATAAACTAATTAATTAAGAATAATCATGTGATTTCGTATTTATCTGTAGTTTTGGTGACATCCTTATCTCTAAAATCACATACAGATAATAAGTTAACCTGTATCAAATAATTATCATAACAAAATCACATAATGAACAGACAGAGCAGAGCGATCAATATAGACATGATTATCGCTGCTTTTCGATTATCACAATATTATCGCATCGCTATCACAACAAAAATACATAAATATTAAATGATTATCACATCAAAATCATATCATAAAAATCTTCTTATCAAATCATTATCACATTATTATCATGACAAAATTAGATTATTATCATAGTACTATCATATGATTATTGACAACGGACATATCGACATAAAAATGCTCTGATGATAATAACAAATTTAAAAGACAAGGATAAATCTAGGATAACAATAAAATTATGAATAAATACTAATTAATTTTTATTTATTTTAATTTTTATTATATATTAATTAATTTAAAGGTTGAGAAGAGTTCTCATATTTTCATAAAACACTAGATGTTGTTTGTTGAACCCTTCCTTCCTTCCTTCCTTCCTTCCTTCCTTCCTTCCTTCCACCCTTAATAGGAGTAACCGATAAGATAGTTTTATGGGAGAATCCATTCATAGAAACCCAAATCTACCACATGTAAATGTAAATGTTTTTATTTTCCGATCGCCTGAGAAAAGAAAGATCTTGTTGTTTCTTCARCAATTTCTGATCTCTAGTGGACCTCTCAGTAGGATTCGAACCCAGATGAAGTTCTGACCATCTGTCAGAGAAAAAAGAACGAACAGATCTTGTAGGATTCCCAAGAAATTCTTCGATTTCTTCCGGAAGCAGATGATTAATCATCTGCTTCAGGGCATTTCCCATTTTTATAGGTACTTCTATACCAGAAACAATGGTATCTCCAATTATAGCCCCCCTGGGATGTAAAATATATCTCTTCTCATCATCCCTATAGTGTATGAGACAAATGTATGCATTTCGATTCGGGTCGTATTCTATGGTTACGATCTCCCCATTCATTAGATAGAGAAGATGACCAAGATTTCGTGATCCGTAAATGTAAATGTAAATGTAAATGTAAATGTAATCAAGAATCAAGAAACCTCATTGGGCCTTTAAACCCCTTATTGGGCCTTAGATAAGTGGGCTCAAATCCATTTATTTTCTTTATTACATTTAGGCCTAATAATTAAAATTCAACACATTCAAACACAAATTTTCTAAGTCTTTTTTTTAATACATTCTTAATTCATAGTAAAATAATTTTCTTGACACGTAAATTTAAAGTTTAAGTGCATATTGATAACATTTGCTTATAACATGTACCACCCTAATTTTTTAGAGTAAAATACTTTTTTTTTGATATAATGTGTTTAATTATTAATTATATTTAAATAGTTTAGATCATAAATGAAGGTGGTAAATCTATTTTTACTTATCATAGCCTCAAAATTTGCATGAAATAGAAAAATTAATTACACGATGTTTTTTTTTTTTTGATATAATGTGTTTAATTAAAAAATTAATTATATATATTTTTTGGCTTGAAATAGAAAAATAAAGGCAACAAGACTTTGAAACCAGACATCCCCAAAATTTACATGAATTCACATAGCCTCTTATGGTACCATTAAAACTTCCTCCTCTCTCTCTTATAAGTTCCACAAATTCATCCTCAAATCTCAACTATGTAAACCATAAATTTAACCAACCTGAAACGGTGAAATCACCATTACCTCCACCTCCACCTCCACCACCACCACCACCACCATCACCACCACCACCACCACCACCACCTTCCACCACCACCACCACCACCACCACCACCTATGACCTCGTGAAACCCAAAAATCGTCAATGGATCAACCATCAAGGGCTCGAGTCCCTCTTGTCCTCTTCATTTTGGTGATTGTATCCCTCTTTGTAATCTTTATCGGATCAAATCAAGCCCGATCTGGATCCTTTGTGGCCATAACTCACAAGTTTGATATCCCTCGTCCCATGTCCTTCATGGTATGTAGGCATATATATATATATATATATATATATATATATATATATATATATATATCATTTCATTGTCCTTGGATCATATTTGTTATTAACCCAAATTGGCATAATTCGTGTTTATGTTTATGTTGGCATACATGTATATGTATATATATTTGTGTTTGCAGCCATTATCGTCATCGAGGGCTGTAGATGATTTAGATGAGGCCTTAGCGGGCGCTGCAACTGGGTTTAAAACAGTGATCTTAACCGTCGTGAATAAAGCGTACGTGGAGGGAGATAAAGCAATGCTGGATATATTCTTGGATGGGTTTTGGGCAGGAGAAAATACACGATCACTTGTTGATCATCTTTTGGTCGTCGCAATCGATCAAACCGCATATGAACGATGCATGTTTCGTAGATTACACTGTTATAAACTCAAGACAGATGGCGTGGATTTCGACGGAGAGAAGATGTACATGTCCGAAGATTTCATCAAAATGATGTGGCAAAGAACCCTTTTTCTGGGAACTGTTCTCAAGCGTGGATACAACTTTATCTTCACCGTAAGTTACTAACTAATTATTTACTTTTACTTTTTATTATATATATATATATATATATATATATATATATATATGTAATATATTATTTATGGAAAGATACTAACTAGTATATAATTAATTGTCAAATGGATTACTTAATTTGAGGGTTTTATTAAAAAGAAATAATTAATAAATAAAGTTATCAAATATGAATGATTATAACTTAAATATCACTCCTTTTTTCTTTCATATTGGTTAATTCAGTTACTTGCATTCCAAAACTTGTAGTAATGAATTGGAAGTTGTAAAAGGAGGGAGGGTCAAAAATCATTAACAAATATGGAATGAATGAATGTCCTACGTACAATAATTACAAAAATTAAGGAAAGGTTAGTTATTATGCAAAACCCTCCCTTTAATTTCTATTTCAAAAATAAACTTTGCATATAATTTAGTTTAGGGTAAAATGTGTTAAATAGAGACCTATTTTTATAAATTTTATTATTATAGTATTTTACTTTCAGCTTTTCTTATTACATAGATGTACTTTCAAAATCTTTGTTAATAGGGCATTGTACTTTCAAAAATTTACCCGTTATAATATTGGATAACCTTTTAAATTAAATTTACTCATTATACCAGGTTAGTTTGTCACCTCATCGTCCATGTAGGCTGTCCACATGTACGATAGTGCTGACATGATATTTTTTATTATAATATTGTACTTTCAAATTTACTTTATTATAACATCACCAATTTCTATTACAACATCGTATTTTTAAATTTAATATCTTTATCATTTAAACATTATAAATTTAATCAAATATATTTACTAAAAATTATAATATTAAATTGTATTTGTGATGATTGTATGTATTAGCTATTTTGATTTGTTCGCAGAGTTTTAAGAGAGGGTGTTTTTTTATTTAAAAAAAATATAATATTTAATTTAACAAAAAACTTACATAATGGTAAAAAAAAGATTAAATTTCATCTATTGTTTGATATATTATTGCAGATATGTTAATACTAAAGAACGAGTTATCGATTTGGGTGTCTTTTGCTATCTATAATATGTCAAAAAACAAAATAAAGACAAACAATATTATAATCTCAAATAATATTTATTATAATTTTTAGTAAACATATTTGATTAAATTTATAATTTTTAAATGATAAAATTATTAAAATTAAAAGTACACTGTAATCGAAATTGATGATGTTATAATAAAGTAATTTTAAAAGTATAATGCTATAATAAGAAATGTCATATTAGCACTATCATACATGTGGACAACTTACGTGGACGATGAGGTTGCAAAAAAACCTAATATAATGGGTAAATTTAATTTAAAAGTTTACCTAATGCTATAACGGGTAAATTTTTGAAAGTATGACGCCTTAATAAAAAATATTTTGAAAATAAATTGCTGTAATAAGAAAAATTGAAAGTAGAATGTTATAACAAAAAAAATTTATAAAAATAAGTTACTATTTTATGTATTTTACTCTTTAATTTATGAAGTTAATTAATTAATACTATAAAATATTATAATCTAAAATATAAATAATAAGAGCACTTTAGAAATTGATCACTTTTATGTGTGTGTGTGTATATATATATTTGTTGCGACTGTTTTTATGTTTTATTGCATATATAAAATCACAACTCTCTTTAATAGTATTACCTTTATACGTTCACAAAACAGTATATATGTAGGAGTAGGAGTCATTTTGATGTTCAAGTTATGAGCATAATGTTCTTATTTTGCTAGGTGTTCTTCTTCTTAGATCTTAACAAGGTATCTTGATGAGGGTTTGCTTGTGCTAACTCACAACTTCAATTAAGTTGGTTTTCATTGCAGGATACAGATATATTGTGGCTAAGAAATCCATTTCCGCTGCTAAACCTAAACGATAACATAGATCTTCAGATCAGCGTCGACAAGTTTAACCACGACAACCAATTGTCGGAAAAAGATCAACTCATCAACACTGGATTCTACATGATAAAATCAAACAACAAGACCATGGCTTTGTTCGACGAATGGTACGCGAGAAAGGACAGCTCAACTGGGATGAAAGAACAAGATGTTCTTTGTGAACTAATGAAGCAAGGTGCGTTTCAAAGGTTAGGCCTTGGAGTTAGGTTCTTGGACACGGTACTTTTCAGCGGAATTTGTGAAGATAGTAGAGATGTTAGGGCAGTTGTAACTGTTCATGCTAACTGTTGTCGTAGTATCAAAGCCAAGGTGCAGGATTTACAAACGATTATGCATGATTGGCAGAGGTTTAAGGCTTCCCCCATTGATCAAGCCTTGCAGTTTACATGGTCTAATCACTCTGCATGTCTAGACTCATGGAACGAATGAGCAAGCTCCATCTCTCTCAACCCTTTTGGATCGATCTTATTGATTTTTTAATTTTATCCCAGAATGGAACTTTTTTGCCAATTCTGGAATGTATAAATATTTGTAGAAGAACTAAGTCTGTATTATAAAATTACATTGTATAGTATCTATTTAACTTTATAGCACAAGTTTGATCAATAGCATATTGGATGCGATGTGTAGGTAAGTAGACGAGGAACAAATTCATGACCGATTCAGGTGATCGTTTATTTGACATCATGCATGGAGTTCTGATAATTAATCAAACACCCCAAAATAACTTAAAAGGCAATGTGATTGGAACTGAAAATAATAGTTGCAAGAATTGAGTCATTTTTACCCACCTGAAATACTTCTTTTACATGGTTTTGAGCTATATTAATTTGTTCCTTCCTTTGCCTTCAGCCACTATATCCATTGGTAATTGGTAATTGGTTTTCTGGTTATATGGTATTTATGCATGCATCATGAACATAATTTGATGGAACTATATATCTAGCTATAATATCAATTTACATGTAAATGAATGCGCATGTAATTTAAGATATATATATATATATATATATATAGAGAGAGAGAGAGAGAGAGAGAGAGAGAGAGAGAGCGTTTAGTTCAAGTGTTAACCAAAATTATTGTGTTAACTTTGTTAACCAAACTCAACCAATGAAAATTCATCTTTTATCTAGCTTCAAATTAAATACCATGCACGACCCATTTTTATATGGTCATATAACCGACTTTTATGAATCATGAATCATTGTGTTCATGTTACTACTCTCATTTGAGTATATATAACACTTCATGAATGAAATTTTGTGTCATATGAACACAAGTATCATTTTTGAAGTTTGATCCCAAATCTTTATATTTGTGTAAGTGCTTGCACCTGGTGTTCATATATATCAAATTGTGTAAGTGATTGCACCCGATGTTTATAGTATGGGGGTTATGTGTTCATATATTTTCTACGATATTCTCTTCCTATGTGTCTTGATCATGTTCACAATTTGTTCATAAATGTTCATGTCAACTTACCGAGTCGTTGGTAAAAGATTTGCTCCCAAATCTTTATATTTGTGTAAGTGCTTGTCCTGGTGTTCATTATGTCAAATTGTATAAGTGATTGCACCCAATGTTCATAGTATGGTGGTTATGTGTTCATATATTTTCTACATATTCTCTTCATATGTGGTTTGATCATGTTCACAATTGTATATTGACGTATATGTGCATGTGTGTTAACATGTTACGAATGTATGTATCTGTGAACATGTGTTTCTATAATGTTTTTGAATTTGTGATTGGTAGAGGACCCGGTAGTAAAGTTTTCGGTATCGTTCAAGCTATTATGGATAAACCCATTTTTCATAATGAAGGAACTATTGTTCACAACTGTTCATATTGTGTTCATATGTACAGTAGCTGCATATCTCAACATTGGCTTGCTTCTGAATGTGTTCATAATGACGGAACTATTGTTCACAAGCTGTTCATATGTACACTAGCTGCATATCTCAACATTGGGTCGCTCTTGAATGTGCTCATAATGAATGAACTATTGTTCACAAGTGTTCATATTGTGTTTATATGTACACTAGCTGCATATCTCAAAATTGGTTCGCTCCTGAATATGTTCATAATTTATAAAGGAACTATTGTTCACAAGCTGTTCATATTGTATTCATACCTTTTATTTATTTATCTCATTTCGTGTAACAGCTATTCTTATTATGTTCATATTGTGTTCATAAATGCTATGCAGTCCAAGTTCATATATATGTCAATTTTTGTTCGTGTTTGACATAATGGTTTATATATATATATATATATATATATATATATATATATATATATAAAGAGGTTGGTTCAAATACTAACCAGAACTATTGTGCAAACTATGCTAACCAATATCAACCAATCATGTTTCATCTTTTAGTTAGGTTCATATGTAACTTGCATATTAATTGTAAGGGTATTTAGGTAATTTATCATTCTTATGTAACTCCCAAATATTTTAATTGGGAGTTACAAATCTTAAAATATCACTAATTGATCTTCATGTAATAATGACATTAAGTTTCACATGTGTTCATCTTACTGAATTTTACATTTATTCTTCCTATAATGGTTTTGATATTGTAAATTTAAAAAAAGTCCCTTTTGAAAAAATTCCGTTATAGTCCGAGTAATATGGATAATCATAGAGTAAAACGGATCGACGACAATGAGAATGAAAAAGCTAAAAGCGTCTGCGAATACATTCGGAATTCGAATTCTGAAAGTGAAGAAAATAATCAATAAGTGTCCCAATATGAACATACGATAGCTATGAACACGCTAATGTGAGCTATGAACACGCTAATGTGAACACCCTAGTGTGAACACGCCTACATTAAAGATTTGAGTTCGGGATGACAAATAATATACATTCTTCACTAAGTTTTGAATTTTAGTAAATCCACATCCTTGTTGCTCTATTTAATTATCTACTTTTTGTAATAATAGTTTTAGTTTTGAAGACTAACTACATAGGGGTTGTTCATTATGTTCATTAAAGATTTGACTTCGGGATGACAAACAATATACATTCTTCACTAAGTTTTCAATTTCAGTAAATTCACATCCTTGTTGCTCTTTTTAATTATCTATGTGTAATAATAGTTTTAGTTTTGTTACTGTTTTATGTCATATAGCACAAATCATATCATGCTTATATAGGGGTTGTTCATTATGTTCACTGTGCTATATTACTTGATCACACA